ACCAACTCATGGAACAAGGGAGCTGAGCACCGTTGGGCAGGAGACTTGCTGCTGTAGTGTATAGTCCATCTGGGCATCCTGCTAATAAAGCAAGGCTTGCTGACTTATGGAGCTAGAGAACTGAGGCTCACTGGTAGAATCATACATAGGATGGGGCACCTCTCAGCACTTATATATGAAGTTAAATAGCTTTGCCCTAAGCATGGCAGAGACCAGGCTGTTATGCCAAGAAACAGAAAGAAGACTCTATACAAACATGACTGAGAACAGGCTGTTTTGAGTAAAAAACTATATTCCAAGTATTTCCTGATCCTGAATTGTAACATGTTACTTCCCTAAAATAACACTATAAATGTGACTATTATCTATGAATTCTGTGGGGTCATTGCAATGACATATTGAACATAACAAAGAAGAGTGTTGTGGTAGTTAAATAATCTTATGTCAACTTGAGGGTATTAAGAGTGAAGGAGTGGAGTTTAGCCTGTCAATCAGGTAGCAGCTTGATTAGAGAGCGACTGAGATAAATGGCTCTCTGGAGGCTGGCCCCCTCTCTCTCTGCCTTTCTCTTCCTGTTGACAAACCAGGTGGAGGCTTATTGAAACCTGCAACCCACACTCTTTCTGCTTCATCTTGCTGTTGAAGAGACATACACGGAGAGCTGGAGGAGCCACATGGAGACAGGAGCCAGCACTGAGATGCTTCCACAGCCATTGGATCCACAAGACTTTGCAGTCATTGGATCCATAAGACTTTGTACCTACTGGCCTGTGATCTTTCTGCATTTTGCATCGTTGCATCCTACTTCATGAGTCTGAAGAGGATTTATGGACTAGTATTGGACTTATGGACTCAATCAGACTTATGGCAGGGATGTTTTCTTAATATGCAATTATTCTTTGATATAAATCTCTTTCTGATACAGATATGAGTGTCTCTGGGTTTGTTTCTCTAGTCTAACAAGTGTAATGGGAAGGAAGGCTGTTTCTTGAGTTGGTAATAAGATTGGAGGGAGGAGCTTTACCTAACCTCCGTTGTTCTGTAGTACCTACGAGCTGTCGAGTTCCAACTCATGAGACAACTGAATGAAACACTCTGCTACCCTCATCGTTGTTGTTATGCTTGAGTCCACTGTGGCAGCCACTGTGGCAGCCCTTGTACTAGAGGGTCTTCATCTTTTTCACAACCCTCTACTTTACCAAGCAGGATATCTTTTTCTAGGGACTTATCTATCTTGATAATATGTACAAAGTACATTAGACAAGGTCTCACCATCCTTTGTAAGGAGTATTCTGGCTGTACGACCTCCACAACAGATCTATTTGTTCTGCTGGCAATCCATGGTACTTTCGATCTTCTTTGCCAACACCATAATTCAAATGTGTCCATTTTTCTAGTCTTTCTTATTCATTATCTAGCTTTCACATGTGTATGAGGCAACTGAAAACAACATGGCTTGGGTCAGGCACAGCTTACTCTTCAAAGGGACACACTTGTTCTTCAACACTTTAAAGAGATCTTGTATAGCAGATTGGCCCAATGCAATACACCATTTGACTTCTTGACCGTTGCTTCCATGAGCATTGACTGTAGTCAACCAAAATTAAATCCTTGACAACTTCAATCTTTTCTCCATTTATTATGATGTTGTCTATTGGTCCAGTTGTGAAGACTTTTGTGTTCTTTACATTGAGTTGCAATCCACACTGAAGGCTGCAGTCCTCACTTTTCATCAGCAAGTGCTTCAAGTTCTCCTTGCTTTCAGCAAGCACTGCTTTATATTAATAGTTAGAGGCTGTTGATGGCAATTCTGTCTCCTTCTCAGAAAGCTAGAGGAGGTAAGACAACTTCACCAGGGCATTTTTATTCTGTCCCTAATATAAAAATTATGTTAGGACACTGATAGCATTTTTATAACAAGATGTAGGTTCTGACCAGCATGGAGTACTGGATAAGCTATAAGAAATTATAGATATTTGTAATTCTATGAACCATATAGATACTGGATAAGCTATAAGAAATTATAAATATTTGTAATTCTATGAACTTAATAGATAGCTCCAATTCTACAAACCTTCTGTGGCCATGAAGGTGGGTAAATGATATGGAATAAATTGTTAACTGACTTAAAAGAATTTCCAGGACTCATGGTTCATATATGCCAACTACCCTAAAACAACTAACCTGCTCCCATGCCAGCTTTATGAGCATTCTAGTCATATCTTTGAGATAGGAGGTCTCAAACTTGATGAATCCTTATAGATGGATCATTAAATCTAAAACCCCACCCCCTCATTCTTTAGTCAGTGTGTTTGGGGTGACCTTGAGAATACTGTTAAGAATATTGCTGAAGTCAGATGGATGGATCATGGTTGAAAGAAGAGAAGACCAGAAAGATTTTTACTTATACTTCATTGACTATACAAAGGCATTCTGTTGTGTGGATCATAACAAACTATGGATAGTCTCCAGGAGAATATGAATTCCAGAATACTTGTGTTCATCTTGTACATGGATAAAGAGGCAGTTATTTGAACAGAACAAGGGAATACTACATGATTTAAAATCAGGAAAAGTGTGCATCAGGGTTGTGTCTTCTCACCAGGCTTATTCAATCTGTATGCTGAACCAGTACACAGAGAATCAGGAATTTATGAAGAAAAATGCAGTATCAGGATTGGAATAAGGCTTATTAATAACCTGAAATATTCAGAATGTAATCTTGCTTAAAGTGAGAAGGACTTGCTTTCTGATGAAGATCAAGGATTGTTGCATTCAGTATGGATTACAACTCACTATAAAGAAAATCAAAATACTTACAATTGGATCAATAGGTAACATCATCATAAACAGAGAAGTTGTCAAGTATTTCATCTTGCTTGGGTTCACAATCAATGTTCATGGAAGCAGCAGTCAAGAGATTAAACAACACATTGCATTAGGTAAATCTGCTGCACAAGACCTCTTTCAAAAGAAAAAAAAAAGACCTCTTTCAAGTGTTTCAAAGCAAGAATGTTACTTTGAGGACTAAGGTGCACCTGACCCAAGCCTTGGCATTTTCAATGGCACATATGTATGTGAAAGTTGGATACTGAATAAAGAAGAGCAAAGAAAAATCGATGCATTTGAACTATGGGGTTGATGAAGATTATTGAAAGTACCATGGACTGCTAAACGGACAAATATTTCTGTCTTGGAGAAGGGTCACAAGGAGAGGGACAAGTCAACCAGGATACAGTATAGCAATGATGGAACACACATTCCTCTAGTTCTTTAATGCTTCCTTCCCCACTCCACTACCATGACCTCAGTTCTACATTATAAATCCATACAGACCAGAACATGTACACTGGTACATATAAAAGTTGTAAGGGCCTCCAATAAAATGACGTATATATATTTTCTCTGTCTTGGAAGAATATAGCCAGAAGGCTCTTTAGAAGCAAGGATTACAAGACTCTGTCTTACAAGACTTTCCATCAATTTGGAGAGAACAATCCTTTGGAAAACACATTATCTTTGGTAGCGTGGAGAAAAAAAATGGAAGGCCTTTGGCAAGATGGACTGGCACAATGACTGCAACAATGGGCTCAAGCATAACAATTTTGAGGATGGCATGGGACTTGGTGGTGTTTTATTCTGTTGTACGTAGGATCCCTATGAGTTGTAACTAACTTGATAGTACCCAGCAACAACATAAAGAAGCTCTCAAGTGTTGTTGATGTCTGGCCTAGGGACTACACTTGTAAAACCACTGCTAGAACTGCAGAATCAACCCTAGATCAAGGGACCTGCATCTCCAGGAATTCATTGCCACTGAGTGTATGCCGACTCACGGGTCCTCTATAGGAGGGTACAACTGCTCTTCTGAGATTCCGAGACTGTAACTCTTTGTGGGAGTAGAAAGCTTTGTCTTTCTCCAAAGGAGTAGTAGCTGGTAGTTTCAAACTGTCAACCTTTAGTTAGCACTCAACACAGCCACTACATTACCAGGGCTCCTGGTATTGGGAATTTTAAGAACTCATCTGGGGTGTGGACCTGCCAAGGACATCCCTGTACTTAGTGGCTATGCTGGATTATATCCTGGTGTGTTGATACTTTTCCAGTTAAATATACCCTCCTTAAGCCTAAAAAAATAAACCAATCTACATGAACTTCAGAACACATAAGGAACCCTAATGGCACAGTGAGTTATGCATTGGATTGCTAACTTCAACGACGAGTTCAAACCCACCAGCTACTCTGTGGGGGAAAAACTAGACTGCTCCCAAAAAGATTTACAATCTCAGTATCCCAAAAGGGCCATTCTACTTTGTCCTGTAGGATTACTATGAGTTGGAATTGACTTTATGGTAGTGGGTTTTGGTTTTAGTTCACGAACACACATAGACCTCTTAAACATTGCTGAGAGCAGTGAATAAATCTACTTAAAAGTTAGAAAAAAATATATTTGTAAAAAAGTGGAGGGTTGTTATAGAGTGTCCTTCAAAAATGTTGTGAATTTGTCTTTCTCCCAAGGAATAGTAGCTGGTAGTTTCAAACTGCCAACCTTTAGTTAGCACTCTATATACCTATGGTTAAAACTCTGATTGGAAATGGGTTTTCTTTGTTAAGCTACAGAAAACCATTAGTGTGGGGTATACCTTATCAGTCACACAGCATGAAGATCACCAAGGAACCAAAGAACAAGGATCTTTTTCACCAGAGCTGAAAAAAGTGGAAGCCTTCCCCTAGTGCTGGTGCCATGAATTTAGACTTCAAGCCTCCTAAACTAAGAAATTAAATGTGTTTCTTAAGGACACCTACTTATATTTTGTATTACAGTGGCATTAAAAACTAAGACAACAATAAAGTAGAAAGTTAAATTGATAATTGTAGGTGTTTACCTTTTTGTTGACAGTATAGGCTAGTGTTTTGCAATTTTGTGATCTCTTTCCTTTGGAAGCATTTGACAAGAATAATGCCCATTGTACCCAGGATCCATTTCATGACAGTTGTACCTGACTTGCTTTTCCCTGCTGCTACCTGCAGCCTGGAGTCTCTGAAGCTGGTTAAGGACAGCTGTTCCACAGGCTCCAAGGTCATCTTCTTTCTGAATGTCAGTATCATCACAGAGCCTATAAAATATAACAAGGGCTACATGAGATGCTTATTTAAGCACAGACTGCCAGCATCTAGAATCTATGGTGGTTCTTTATGGTTTATTGAAATATATCTGTAATATAATCAAGACATAAAAATACAACAACTATACTGTCTCTCACCAAAGATGTAAAATGAGGTACTGTATTTTGAAAACTTGTGTATATGTAGCTGTTTTAAATCCATCAGAGGAAGTAACTTTTAACTCTTTGATAGCATTAATGATGTTCAAATCCACAGCTGTGCAATTTAATTCTACATTCCACTTGACTGATAGGAATGCTATATAATCTTAACAGCAGAAAGGGCTCATTTTATATTGTCAATCATAACAAAATTAGATCTCCTTAATTCATATAAAATTTACTTACATGATCAGTGCTAAGAAATTGAAAACTGCTAGCTGAAGTATAGGTTACATTCTCTATTTCTGAATGCAGAAAACTAATGATTATTTCTTCATTTGGATCCCACTGCAGTAATATTTTCTTTATTCTTGACAAGAAAAGAAAAGCTTGGAAAGAGACATTTATCCTTCACCATCCTCTTGAAGTTCATTTATTTATGCTTTTATTGTGAGCTGAGGGTTTACATTTCAGATCATCAGCTTTGCACTCAATGGTTCAAATCACTACCCCCCAACCCACCTCCATGCATCTCCACACCTGTATTCTGCCCCTGCAACCTCCTTCCTCTGATTTCTCTTCTCTCTTTCGGTCCTCCACTTTACTCAAGACAACACCTGTCAACTCTCTAGTCTGTTGCTTCATCATCCCTCTCTTCCTGCATCGGCCCCCTTCGTCGTCTCCTCCTTTTGATATGTAAGTCTTCATCTTGGTTAATGTTTGTCCTGTTGAGATTTACTAACTCCACTCACTGTTCCCTAGATTAATCCATGTTATGAGGTGCTTCTTGGTTTCAATATGGCTTTTCAACGATACACAGTATTCCATGGGGTTTAGGTATCAAAGAAATTTTGATACCTTTTTAGGTAAAAAAGATATTTTTTATAGATATTTGGGTTCCCAGTTTCTTGCTATTGTGAACAGTACTGCACTGTGATGAATGTGAGAGTGCATTTGCCTGTTAGTTCTGTCTCTTACTTCTTTAGGGTAAATACCAAACAAAATATTGCCATTTCATAAGCAATTGCTATTCCCAGTTGTTTGAGGTATCAACATGTCAATTTCTACAGCGATTGCACATATATACAGACTCACCAGCAGCATATGAGAGTTCCAATCTCTCCACACCCTCACCGGCATCTGTTCTGTTCTCTCTCTCCCTCTCTCTCTTTTTTTAATTGGGCAGTCATTGCCAGTGTAAGGTGATATCTCATTATTGCTTTGATTTGCATCTCCCAGATGGCTAGTGATCATAAGCATTTTTTCATATGTTTGTTAGCCATTTGAATGTCATTTTGATGAACTGTCTGTTAATATCCTTTGCTTACTTCTTAATTGAATTATTCATATTTTTTTCTGAGTGCTACAATTTTATACAGGTTTTAGAGGTTAGTGCTTTATTCATTGTGTCCGCAAAGAATTTTTCCCAGTTGATGGGCTCTCTTTTGATGAAGCCCCCTTTTTTTTCTGATGAAGTCTTTTGATGTAGACAAATGTCTTATTTTTAGTAGGTCTATTTTGTCTTCTGTTGTGTGTTTTCCATTACATTTGCTAGTGTATTTTTGCCATGTGCTAGGGACCTTAAATTTGTCCCTATTTCCTCATGATGATCTCTATAGCTTTAGGATTTAAATTTAGAATTTTCATCCATCTTGAGTTTGGTTTTGGACATGGGGTGAGGTATAGGTCCTGTTTCAATCTTTTGCTGATGGAGATCCAATCTTGTCAGAACCATTTGTTGAACAGAGTCTTTCCCATTTAATGTTCTCTGGTTCTGTGTCAAAGACAAAGATGAATTTATTTTGGGGTTTTCTATTTTGCTCCATTGGTCTATGTACTTATCATTGCACAAGTACCAAGCTGTTTAGATTACTGTGGCTATGTAATGGCTTTTGAGGTAGGAAAGGGAGAGGCTTCCTATTTTGTTCTTCTTAAGTTATTTGCTAATCTTGGGTTTCTTCGGTCTCCAGATAAAGTTAGAATGAAGTTGGGATCTGGATTGTTATTGTGTTATATTTATATATTGCTTTTGGTAGAATTGACATCTTCACAGTGTTAAACCTTCCTGCCCATGAACATGGAGTATTTTCCCATTTACGTAGGTCTCATTTTTTTTTTCTTGTAAGTAGTGTTCTATAGTTTTCTTTGTCTAGGTCTTTTGTCTTTCTGGTTAGGTTTAAGTACTTCCTTTTGGGGGCGGCTCTATTAAATGGTATTGTTTCTTTGTCAGAGCTCTCTTCACATACAGAAATCCATATGATTTTTGTGTTAATCTGCTATCCTGCTACATTGATGAAACTTTCTTTTGTTTTTATTTATTTATTTATTCCCCCCTGCCCCCACTTTCCCACTAGATTGGGAAGATTTATTTATTTTCACTTTATTTTATTTCTTTTTATTAATCATTTTATTAAGGGCTCATACAACTTGTATCACAATCCATACACACATCAATTGTGTAAAGCGCATTTGTACATTTATTGCCCTCATCATTCTCAAAACATGAGCCCTGATGGCACAAAGGGTTACACTATTGAGCTGCTAACCACAAGGTTAGCAGTTTGAAACCACCAGCCTCTCCATAGGGGAAATATGAGGCTTTCTACTCTCATAAAAAGTTACAGTCTCAGAAACCCACAGGGGCAGCTTTTAGCCTGTTCTGTAGGGTTGCTGAGAATGAGTTTTTAACATATAAAATCCTATCATCTGCAGATAAGGGTTTCACTTCTTTGCTGATTTGGATTCCTTTTGTCTAATCACTTTGCCTAAGAATTCCAGAAAAACTTTGGATAAGAGTAGTGATAAGCACCATCTTTATCTGGTTCCCATTTTCGAGAGAAATGTTTTCAGTTTTTCCCTACTGAGGAGATGATGGCTGTTGGGTTTTCATATATAACCTATATTGTTGAGAACTTTCCCTTCTATTCTTGTTTTGTTGAATGTTTTCATCAGGAATGAGTGTTACAAATTGTCATATGCCTTTTCTGGGTTGCTTGATATGATCATGGGGTTATTTTTTAAATCTTTTATATGGTGAACTACATTGATTCCCCCCCCCCTTAATTTTGAACCACCTTTGAGAACATGGTATGCATCCCACTTTATCATGTTGTATTACTTGGAAGTGTGATGTATTGATCTGTGGTCAACTATGTTTTGTGAGAATTCCCTGTGTGCCACATCTCATTTAAGGAACTGGCTTTCTGTAAAACTTTGGATGCCATTATGACCTTGTGTTAATGGTCTCTCTCATCCAGATGAATTGCCTTTGTCTTGCTTTTGTCCTATTTATAATTTAAAACATATGTCTCTATAAATTGTATTTAGATTTAAGATCCTCTACAACATACCACATATATATATACACATATATATATACATATACATATATATATGGCAATAAGATGGCCACAATTACAGTCCTTACAGAATTTATGACTACTCTGGATGAACTCAGAAATTTCTCTGGTTACAAGATGGTCTGGTCTATGCTAAGGATGTATAATAGTGATCTTCCCACCTGAAGCCAGGCTTTATTTCATAAAGTGTCCATTAGCACTTTTGATAATGTGTGAAAAAAAAATCAAGTAAAGAACACCCCCTTACTGAGGGGTTGTGGGGAGGAGAAAAGCCAATCAGAGTGCAGGGTAGCAATGATGAAACATATAACTTTCCTCTTGTTCTTTAATGCTTCCCTCCATCCCCCCACTATCATGATCCCAATTCTACCTTACAAATCTGGCTGGACTGGAGGATGTACATTGGAATTGGAAACACAGGGAATCCAGGATAGATGACTCCTTCAGGACCAGTGGTGAGAGGGGCGATGCCTGGAGGGTGAAGGGAATGTAGGGTAGAAAGGGGGAACCAATCACAAGAATCTAAGTATTGCCTCATCCCTGGGGGATGGACAGCAGAGAAGAGGGCGGAAGGAAACATTGGACAGGGTAACTTATAACAAAACTATAATAATTTATGACTATGAAGGGTTCATGAGGGAGGGGAAAGTGTGGAGGGAGGGGGAAAATGAGCAACTGATATTAGGGGCTAGAGTGGGAGGCAAATGTTTTGAGAATGATGAGGGCAACAAATGTGCATAAGTGCTTGACACAATGGATGTATGTATGGATTGTGATGAGAATTGTACGAGCCCCCAATAAAATAATTTTTAAAAATCAAGTAAACTAATTCCTACACTGTATGTTGTTAGGTGCTGTCCTGTCGAGTTGGTTCTCACTCATAGTGACCCTATGCAAAACGGAACAAAATGGAACTGCCTGATCCTTCACTACTAGTCTGTTATGTTTAAGTCCACTGTTTGCAGCCACTGCTATTTCACCCATCTGAGGGCCTTCCTCTTTTTCACTACTCCTCTACTTTAACAAGCACGATATCCTTCTCCAAAGACTGACTGGTCTCTCCTGATGCCTAAGTACATGAGAGCATATATCTCATTATCCTCACTTCCATGGAGTATTCTGGCTGTACTTCTTCCATTTCGGTCAGGTGCACTGTTGTCCTCAAATTAACATATTTGCATGTTCTTCAATACTTCAAAGAGGTGTCATGTATCAGATTTGCTCAATACAAGTTATTGTTTGATTTCTTGACTGCTGCTTCCATGAGCATTGATTATGAATCCAAGCAATATGAAATCCTTGAACACTTCAATCTTTTCTCCGTTAATCGTGTTATCTATGGATCCAGTTGTGAGGATTTTGGTTTTATTTACAATGAGATTAATACCGCACAGTTAAAGATGAAAGGCTACATGTGTTATGAAAGCATTATAACTGTTTCAAAATTCAAAGACCTTGATTTTTTTTCTACTTATAGTCCTACCAAAATAG